GTGCATTGACTAATTTCTTCGTAGTTCATTGATTTTCGAAAATTAAAAAAAAATTTTTCTTGCATTCGTGTCATTGATTGAACTTTTCGTAGACTTGTGCATTGACGAATTTCTTCGTAGTTCATTGAATTTTTATCTGGTTAAACTTGGTCAGTAATAAATATAGTTGTGAGACTGCTACACAGATAACGCTACGAATTGCATTATGGCGTTTCATTTAATTTAAACATTATAATAATATAAATATATAATAAAACTTTATTAAAATAACCTAATAAATTTATAATAATAATTGAATAATTCTCAATGAAAAAGTAATATCTATAAAATTGATTAAAATAAAAAAGTAATAAATATTTTTTCTTACAGCAATCGATAGTTTTCGATATTCGATCAATTTCGATATATTCTCGACAACTGAAGGTACATTTCCTGTTCAAACTCCTTACAGTATCTGTAGTTTAGCAAGATGGTGAGTTCTTCAATATTATATTATTAAAATCGACATTTATTCTAAGAATCTTAACAAAGTGAATAAATATTTTTACAAATATTATATAAAATTAAATAATCTAATAAAAATTGGAGATATTTTTGAATTCTATAAAAAAGAATGGTAAAATAACAAATTAGAGGTTATAATGATTGATCATGGTGTTCACATATCAACTATTTACATTTGTATCACATCATTATTTCTATTTAAAATTCGAAATTCTTTTTTAAATATTTATTCCATAAACTAATTGTTTAATGAATCTATTAACAAATTAATTTTATATTTATTTCATATGATAAGTGTAATTGTTTTTTTTTATTTGTTTTAAATATACAGTCGCTAGTCATTCCTGAGAAGTTTCAACACATTCTTCGTGTCATGGGCACGAATATCGATGGTAACAGGAAGGTTATGTTCGCGATGACAGCCATCAAGGGTGTAGGTCGTCGTTATGCTAACATTGTTCTTAAAAAAGCTGACATTGATTTAAACAAACGTGCTGGAGAATGTTCAGAAGAGGAGGTAACTAAACAATGATATAATCTTCTAACATGTATTAATATCTTAACCCATAATTCAATGTTTAACATACAAATATTGTTTATAGGTTGAAAAAATTGTTACAATTATGGCTAATCCAAGGCAATACAAAATTCCTGACTGGTTTTTGAATAGACAAAAAGATATTGTTGATGGAAAGTACACTCAGGTATGATACCATTTGTACAAATTTAATAATCAATGTTTTACATGCACAGGTACACGGCCAATAGTATGAACAATCATACTCATTTGGTTAGAACCATTGTGCAAAATAAACAGTGCATATTTAATTAACTATATACATCTGTATTTTTATCACTAAATGCAAATATGAAATCTTATGCACCACATTTTTTCCAAACATCATTTGACTTCATTTTTCAATTTTAAAATAAATATCAAAAAAGTTAACTTATTATTGTTCTTGTAGCTAACCAGCGCCAATTTAGATTCCAAACTTCGTGATGATTTAGAACGCATGAAGAAGATTCGAGCACACAGAGGTCTGCGTCATTATTGGGGCTTACGTGTACGTGGTCAACACACCAAGACTACTGGCAGACGTGGTCGCACTGTTGGTGTATCCAAGAAGAAGTAATTATTTGTATATTTCATTAATTATTAATAAATACTGAAAATTAATTGTGTCTCTGTGTTTTATTATTTATAATTACACATTAATTTGATAGGAAGAGTAAAACATTGATCGCCGTATAATTTTGAATCATATTATTTAACCCTTTCGCTACGACGGGCCACTATAGTGGTTCTCTATAAAATACCGCGTATTTTATATACGACGAACAAAAAACTGCAATTTCGATGCTGCACGTATTAAGTAGCCCATACAGTAGAAATACGCCCGTTGGGAAAGGGTTAAACTTGTTTGCTAATTATCACATATAATGAAGAATAAAACTTCAAGTATAGTTTGTAACTTAATTTTTTATATTTATTGCTGTTGTAATAAAAATTAGGAGTGTTAAAGCCTTTTTTTGATGAAAACAAATGCGAAATCATAAAATACGTGACATTAATAGGGAACGTTTTAAAAGTGAATTTTAATGAATAATAGTTTAAATGCACACACATATATATATATATCATTAAATATGTGAATTTTGATAAAATTCGTTTAAAGTTAACATTATTTAACTTTAGAACAATATCTTCGTTAATATCGTTTACCAAAGGCACACACCAAATTTTCAACAAACTCTATAGCATAACAGTTAATATAATTAATAATTTAATCATTGAATTATTAGGTGATATATTATTTGTATTTATTTAAATTGCCACTTTCTAAGTAAAATCATTTTCTTGAACTGCTATTGTAAGTTTTAAATATATATAGTATTAATCTCACTAATCCGGCACTTCAATAGACCGATACGTCCAATAATCCGGCACCCCTCGCCAGCGCCACCGTCGCCGTCGTCTAACAGTCTAACCTCAAAACTTATCACTTTTTTTCTTTATAATCCAGTAATCCGAACATTCCAATAATCCGGCACCCTATGGTTTTTAATATTACCGGATTAGTGAGATTGTACTGTATATATATGTAAGTGTGTGTGTGTGTGTGTGTGCACGCTTGAGTGTAAAATTTGTAAAGAATATTTCCCTAAGGCAGTTGAGAATTGAATTTTGTTTTAAACTTTTTCTTATTTTTTTTTTTTTTTTACTTAATAACTAACAATAGTTTCAAGATATGCCTTAGGTACTCTTCCTCGTTGATTTCCTCTTATTCCAATTAAATAATCTTCATCTCCAGGAATTTCCATAATGGAAATTACCTATAAATATAATAAAACATGTATTGTGCATAGTTAATAATATAATTATAGATGATAGATAAATGAAAAAAAAAGACTACATTTTTATTAATTAATTAATTATTATACGTGTGTGTGTTCATTCAGATCACGTTTTTGTTAAAAATGTCTCTCTTACTATGATTTAAATCTACAAAACTTTGTATTATACTTTGCTACAACGTTAACAAATAATATGAGAAATTAATTAACAATTTATTATTTATCTACGACTGATTCTGTAAAAAAACGATAACAAACAAAAAAAAAAACAAGGAAAATTATATAAATATATGATAATTGATATTAAAATCAAAATTATAAGTATTTTATTTAACACATGCAAAATATGAATAAATATACAATTAAACGAATAAACGTGTATATATATATATATATATGATATTATTAATATTAATAATTCTAATGAACAAAATATACAGAAGAATAATAAACAAAGTGAGAATATATATATATATACGATTTTTCTTTAACAAAAATATAAAAAATTATTCGATACTCTATCTCTATACATATATATATATATATGTGTATATATATATATATTTATAAAATTATTTTAATCTATTTAAAAGTTAATTAATATTATTTTTTCATGCATCTATTTGTCGCATGATAAGTATAATGCCAATTCTTCTACAATAGAAATTTATTATCCTAGATCACTTCCATTTGAGTATTAACACATGGAACTTCTTATATTATTCTTTATAAACTTGATTATAGTGTAACCTAGAAATAAAAATGATAAATTATATATAATATAATATAATATAACATAATATGTCGAATAATTTAAATAAATTATCTTAACACGTTTGTTATCAAGCCATGGAAAAGAAAATTTCAAAAACACAATTTCAAAACTTGAAAAAATCATTCACTACTTGAATTATTGTTAACTCATATATATATATATACAATAACTAACGTGTTAAGTTAAATGTATAAAATAATAAAACAAATAGAATAAAAACAATAGAACAAAAATTTATTTTTAAGTACACTTATTGTGCATATGAATTTGAATAATAATTTCATGATAAATAAAAAGAAAATGAGAAACTTACAGTTCATGACGAATATATCATGCCTTTTGTTTATGGATACATGGAACGCATGCTGTCATCTACCTAAATCACAAATTTGGTTACCTCGTCTTGCATGACACTAAGCTCGGTTGAATCCCTAGCATCATAATCACAGACTACTCTTGCACGATCTTGACCATTTTCCACTTGTGCAGTAGGATTTGTTGTTGAGGCGGTCGAGTGATAGGGACCCCCAGTTAAGCTGGGCAGGATAAATTATAATAATGTGGGATGAATTTGATGATTAACATTTATCAAAATGAGAGACAAGTTGAAAAGAAACCACAATGTTTTTTCAATTCTATACAGTTTTAAGAGTTCATCAGGATAACTGTGTTAAGCAGTGTAAGATCCAATAATTAATTGCATTTTTATATACCACTAGGGGTGTCCCGCAACAGGTTGCTGTGCTGACTCACAATCAGTCCGATACACACGTCAATAAAATAATATTGCGATTATAAATTGAGATATAAACTATCCTATCTTTCAAGTTGAATGAAACTGCACACAGTGTGGAAAATTTGATTAAAATCGGTTCAGTAGTTTAGGAGTCCATTGCGTACAATCAACGTGACAAGTAATTTATATATATTAAGAAGAAGAAGAAGAAGAAGATGAAACGAACTGGTTTTATGTGTTGTTCTAATGAACTCTTACAACTGTATTGAATTGAAAAATATCAGTGTTCTATCAATTTGGATCTCACCTAGTGAGAAAGAAATATACACACATATAGAAAGTGATAAATTATAAAAGGAATCACCTTATCTCACAAATAAATAAATAAATAAAGGAATAAATTCGTGTACAACAATATTTTACACTACGTGTTCAATAATTTGTGCAACAAACACGCGATAAGCGTAAAAACAACACACTGTACTTATACGAATAATAATAATAATAATACTAATAATAATAATAAACGAATAAATGTAACATTGATGTATACTAAATATAAATAACACACTTAAGCTTACATGAGATATATTATTAATGTAATGACAAAAAAAAAAGAAGAAAAACAAGCACATCTTTCAAATTATAATTAAATTGTCATGAATGCATTAATGTTTAAATAAATGAAAATATTATTCACAGATAATTGTACTGTAGACGATAATATAAATTTGTATTTAAAACAAAAAAACAAATAAGATTTGTTTTTCATAAAACAATGAAATTTAATATAATTTAAGGAAAAATATTATTGTGAACTATACAACAAATTGATCATCTTTCTACACAAAGTTTTACAGAAAGTTATATATATATATAGAATTTCGTTGTAAACGTATTGTTTTATTTGCTGATAATTATTACCTAACAACAAGTTTAATTCTTCAACAATTTGAAAAAAATTCAACCCTTTTTTTTATATATATATATTTTGTAAAGTAATTATGTAATATTTAACAGCTATCATCTGTTTGATCAACAATAAAGAGAGATAGAGATAGAGAGATAGAGATAGAGAGCATATTAGTTAACTCTTCATAGATTTATTATGGAAATTAGTTTTCCATAATGTTAAATTAAATTTTCGATATGTCAGTGTCAAAGGTAGCAGTAACATACGTTGAATCAGCGAGAGCATTATTTATAGATAGATTTTGGGATGGAGTAGTGGGTGAGGGTGTTAGCTCGATCACTTCCTCGCTGTTGACTCTGAGCAAAGGACTCGGCTGACGTGCCCTGCACAATTTCCCCACCATGCAAGCAAAGATAGAAATTGGAAAAAGTAGAATATTAGAAAAAAGATAGAAATAGATAAAGCAAGGAAATATAGGATTTAATAGCGGGGAAAAGTAATTTAATTCACTACTACCGATAAATCTGTAGAATGTTTCTTTAACAACAAAAACAACAACAACAACATTGAGCTATCGAATCATGTTAAAAAGATAGAAGTAGTTAGTTTTACACCCAACAAAATTGTAATAATAGATTTATATAGAGAAGAAGAAGAATATTAATATAGATAAGATATTTTGTTAAGATATTTTAATATCTTATACACATAATAAAACATTTGTAGCTTCATTTCTCCAAGAAGATAAGACTAGAATTATTATCATGAATAAATTCTTCTTGGAGAATACAAAAATGATAATTGAAAAAAGCTTAGCACACAATAATTGATCAATTGTAATATCTAACTATTTAATAAGATGATCTTAACGAATGAGTAATGGTTCTAAAGCTTTTCTTAGGAACGGTAATAGTCTGTGTTTAATAGACATTACTCACTCGGATCACCAAAGAGTAGGAAAGCTGTACAGAAAAGATTGAATTTGTGTACTGCAAAGGATTGTTGTGCGGGAAAACCAAAAGACATTGCTAATATAAAAATATGATGAATATAAATTAACCTTACCCAGCAAGCTCACGTTGCAATTCTTGCATAGTCGCATGACATTGAGCGTAATGACGTGCTTGTGCTTCAACGAATTCATGTAAACATCTCAAATGTCCAGCTTGAGAACTAGTTACTCCTTCTAAAAGTAACTTAGCAATTTCTGCTTGCCGATCAAATTCCGATTGTGCCACCCTCAGCTCCCTCTCTGCCTAAGTTTAGTAATATTCAAGTTTCATTTCTTTCTTTGGATTATTTCAATGTCTTATTTAAATATTTTATTTAACACCTTGTACTATAATAATGTATGAGACACTTGTAATATGTTTTACAGTATTTTATAGTCAATTCTTATAAGATACAGCTTTCTGCATTAAATCATAGTACAAGGTGTTCAATATTTTAATAATATAATTGAAAATTGTTACTTAAATACTATATAGTATAATTATATTAATTATAAAACACTTAAAAGTAAATATTATATTAAACTTACTTATATATATATATATATACATGCATGTGATTGCTTTACATTTAGTTAGGTATTTGTGTATGATGTAATTAACATTTATAGACGAATATAACAATTAAAAGAAATAAATAATAAGGGATAGTTCAAAAATAGTTCTCAAAATCCGAGGTAATAGAGAATGTAACATTTGTGTTGCTTCTTATATCAAAAAAAAAAAAATACATTTAAATAAAAATTACAACAAATAATTGCAGGATTGAAGACAAACAAGGTGGGTAATTTTCAATATTAAAAAAAAAAAACAGAAACTGTTCCTAGTTTTGTTTCGTTACTATGATCAATTAAACTCCGTTTGCAATGTGTAAATATATCAAAATAAAATAAAATTAAAGAAAAAAAGAGCACATTGCATAAGAACGAGATATTTTCAAAACTTTTCGTTTCGTTAATACCTGATCGAGTAATACTTCGGGTGAAACGCCAGAGTCCTATGAAATGCAGCAATGTACGGGACAAAACACAGAATAAACATACAGAGAAAATGCATTAATTAAATGAACAGTAATAGAACTTACACTCTGTTGGCCCACCATGCTTCTTGCTTTTCTTACTCGATTTTTACATGCATCTAAATCCAACCTAAACATAGTTATCATTCTTTTATAATAACACAAAATTCTATTACAATTAAACAACAATATTATTTTAATATTACTACCTTTTGGTTTCTAATATAGCCATTTCCTTGCTAACAGTTTTCATTTCTCCATCTAAAAATTTTCTTAATGGTTGTATATAACAATTGGCTGCTATTCCAATAAAATCTCTTTCAATTTGACCTAACTTTTGTTGACACTGACCAACTTTTATCAAAGAGCTACCTGCAAAATAAAATTATATATTTATATATATTTATTTATTTATTTATAATGAAATTATTGAAATTCAATTGTTAAACATAAAAATATTTTCTACATACCGTAAGCGATACCAGGACCAAAATCATTTCCAGCTTCTATCATATCGATGCCTACGTATTCGAGATTGCTAAGTCTGTTGGGTTTCTTTTTATCAATTTTTTCATAAAAGAAATCTTCAATTCTATTTCCTACAACAACAACAACAACAACAACAACAACAAATAAAACAAACATTAATTATCATTTATTTTTATTTTTGTATTATTTTAATTGTTTTTTATACCTGGATTAGGAGTAAGTACAGCTTCCATATTCCTGAGAATTTTTTCTGTCCACGTTTTAGTTGCATTTGCTCTTTCAGCGAGATGTTCTAAATGTGCATCTAATTCAGTTTTCTCAGATGTACCTAACGTTTCTTCTGTTAGCTAATAACACATATAAAATCAACAATTAAATAAGGTCAAAAAAAATTCAATACAAAATATGAACACCCAATATAATTTATATATATATATATAGGGTGTCCCATAAATGATGATATAAGCAAACATATTAATTAATAAATTATTAATATTATTAAGTATATATTAATAATTTATGTGATTAGAATAAATAATAAATTGAAGAAGAAAATATAATAATAATAATAATAATAATAATATTATTATTATTATATGAATAATAATATTAGTCATAACTGTTTGGCGTTTAAAGACTGAGTCATCCAATAATAGAACTTTGTACAATATAGAATGAAATGTAATTCCTTTAGTAGAATTTATCTAATTCTATCCTATTTTCTTTATTCTTTTTTTTTTAATATATATAATAATCTGTTAACAAACTGAAATGATACAATCTGTAGTATATTATACAATCTATTAAATCATGCGTGAACGTTACACAACGTAAATATGTATTACAAGGGGAATACATTTATTGTCAATTTTATTCACATAGATGACAATTAGGTTAAAAAATAATTCTTGGTAAGAATCTATTCTATAGATCTAAAAAAAAAAAAAACATGTTTTCAACATATTTGTCGAGTTATCAAATAAAGTTGAAATAAAAGTAAATTCATTTTTAACTGTCAATTAAATTTGAATTAGATTTAGTTTCTAGAAATGTATAAAATGTCAGATGTGACAGCGTTTACAAACGACAGTCATTGGTAGCGTAACACCACATCGTATCTTTTCAATTGTAATAAAGATAGACATTTATTAAACAATTAATTAGACAAATTTTACCTGTACAACTCTGCTCAATGCAGCACCAGCATCCTTAACCAATTTCTTCACGTTGAAATCCATTTTTGTTCTCTTTAACAGGATGACGATTATTCGGTGAATATCTTCTATTGCTTTTTATTTTCTATTGCTTCTTATTTTCTATCGATCCGTAATTCCGTTAACTTCCGCAAAGTGGCGCTGTTTAACTTTGCGCGTGAACTTTTACATATATTCAAATTTTCCCGCTCTCTCTCTCTCTTTTATATTTATCTATAAATATTAATACATTTTAATATTTCTACAATTTAATTAATTCACAAATATAATTTGAAATTAAGATTTAAAAAAAAAAAAAAAAAAGAAGACTTATCCTACTACAGATTTTATTTATATACAAAGTACATTGTTTCTTATGTATTATTTTAGAAACCAAAAATACTTGAAAATTTCTCCTACAAATTCATGATAATATGAAATATGAAAAATAACAATATAAAAATTTGATATCAATGAAAATAGATGTGCAGACTAGTAGTTCATAGAATAAACATTTAATTGACTGTATAATAAATGCAAGAAAAAATTTGAAAATATAAAAAGATCGTACCTATATTATCTAATATAGTTCTAATAATATATTTAAATACCATCTATTAAATATAATATTTGTATTATATATCGATGATTTGTGATAGAATTTTTCTAATGGAATCATTCTAATGGAATGATATTTAAAAATCACAATGAAATTATTATAAAGGCAACGCTCGTTTATTTCGGCCAGGAATGAAATACGTTACTGTGATTTCATGGATACAAATTTTCGCGAACGTGATCTAACTTCTGTACGAATATTTGTATATTCAAACCATAATATATCCGGAATCGATGATGTGTCACGCAATAGCAGATATTCCGATATTTGCCTGTAAAAAAATAAAAACGTTTGTAATTGTCATATATTTCATTTTTAAAACGTTTCATTAAGAAAAGCAAAACATGCATTTTAATGAATAAATCTAACAATATGTGACAACTAATTGTAGCAACTGACATGCGAATATAATGCCATTACAATACTGATAATTCCTAGCGTTAATGCACTGCAGTCAAAGAATTAATATCAAAGTACCATGAGACGATAATAGGAAGCAATGGAGTCAGAATAATATGTGTTATCAAAAACCATGAGACTCCTAAAATAGCTCCCACAATTAAACCCCATAAAACTTGCGAAGTGGAATGATATTGTAGATAAATTCTGCCATAAGACACTAAAACTGCTGCTATTATACAGCCAGTGACAATAATTATTCGCCAAAACTTCTCGGATATTGTGCTATTACTATTGTAATGTAACCTATATATCAAACAAGTTTATGTTATTATGAATAATTAATAATAATAATAATAATGATATGATATGATAAAAGATATAAGAAAAATATTTACCTAATGTATATGAAAAGTATTGCATATGCAGTAAAGAACCACATAAATTGTGCATGAGAAGAGGGCATACCATATTCATTATAAATGGTATCACGTTTCACTGGTCTTGGTTCACGAATGATATATTTTAATATTAAATTAATAATTTCGTTCAATATTACTCCGCTAAAAAATAATATCTGAAATAAATCAAACAATTATTATATATATGTATATATATGTATATATATGTATAATACAATAAATAAGAAATGTTTTATACTTACAGTATGTAAATCTCTTCTGAATAAAATTAATGTTATAAAACTTGTCAAAATAATGAAGGGTGTTAAGCTTACCAAGGCCAATAATTTACCAAATATGTCTCCTGTAAATAAAATTAAAAAATTTAATTTCAAACAAAATAAAAATTGAAAAAATCATTAAAAAATAGAAAAGAATTACTTAATAATGTAACAGAAAATAAATTGCAATATTAATTTCGTGCATTTGTTAATACAAATAAAATACAAAAGAATAATCTGTGAAAAATCAATGACACCTGTCATGTAAACAGGTAACAATAACAAAATGCAGACACGAAGAATCCAATAATTTTTTGGCCAACGCTCTAACTATATTTTTAATTATAGAAATAATTAAAAATGGTTACCTTGTGGATATTCAACTAGAGTCAAAGATAAAGGAATCCATTTCAATTCATCAGTTGTATGTAAAAAATGTGTTGTGAGCTCGTCGTCGAGCGATGCCATGTTACCGTAAAATTTATAATCGCATAACTTTCATAGACAGTCGAACAGTGAACGTAAAATTGAGAACCACTGAGAACTAGTCAATTTGAATATGCTATAACTTGTTTTTTTTTTAAGATGACATCTTTATGCTATTGACAAATGACACCAACAAAATTAACGATTTTCAAATTCAAATTATTAAGAACAATAATGAGATTATATTTAAATTATAATAATATTTAACAATAAAATTAAATTATTAAATAAATATATAAAACAATATATAATATTCCTTTTGATTAATTACTATTGGTCAGTTACATTCTGCGAATTTGAAATTCTTGCCTTCTGATTGGTCAATAGCTATTAATCTCAATGAGTGTCTTTATTTGAATGATGGAAACATTTTCATTGACAATCCAATCCCACATTTTTAATTTAAAGAGTAAGATCTTTCTTTATGACTAATTATTAAATTTCTTTATTTACAATTAGCGTAGTTTGAATAAAAAGATGAATTTAATTGACTGAAGCAGCTGATCGTTCTAGCCAATAAGAATTGCTTACCAACTAGGAAACTTCCTCTTAAAAACAGACAATAGATATACATATACGCGATATAAAACATTGAGACTTTTTATTATTTTATTTATAAAAAAAAAAGGTGCTTAATTAATGAATTTATTAATGAATAAATTATTTTAACTGTAAATAATTGTAATTCTTATGCAAAAATAATACTTTTATAGGTTTGAACATAATTACATTAGATAGTACTTCTAGTACACGTGTAATTATTTTGCATATGATAAATGCGTCATTGGGTTAAAAGATTAAATTTAAATAATTTACAAATAATGGCAGAAGACAAAAAATCACCTTTAAAGTTCGAAATTTTAGCAGAATGTAAAACTAGTAATGCAAGAACTGCAAAAATGACATTGATACATCATCATGTAGATACGCCAGTTTTCATGCCAGTAGGAACACAGGTAGATATTATATTTTCTATAATATTATATATAAATATATAAATAACCAAAAAAAAGGTGTTTATTATTATTTAAATTTATGTATATTATTTGTATATTTCAGGGTACTTTGAAAGGACTGTTACCTCAACAGCTGGAAGAATTGAATTGTCAAATAATTCTTGGCAATACTTATCATCTTGGAAACAGACCTGTATTTAATTTCTTATTTTTAACACAATCTTGCATTTTCAATTTTATCGAATATTAAATAATGATTATTTTTCTAGGGTACTGAAATATTGCAAAAAGCAGGAGGTTTACATAAATTTATGAATTGGAAAAGAGCATTGTTAACGGATTCTGGTGGTTTTCAAATGGTATCGTTATTATCACTTGCTACAATCAAAGAAGAAGGAGTAAACTTTAAATCACCATACAATGGTATTGTAGTATTGTGTAATGCACAAAGTAGCATAATTTTATATATCATGTGTCTCATTATATATATATATTTTTTTTAAATTAAATTATACCTCCTTCTTTTTATTTAGATGCTTATTGTATGTTAACTCCTGAACGATCAATTCAAATTCAAAATACAATTGGTGCTGACATAATTATGCCATTAGATGACGTAGTTAGAAGTATCCAAACTGGACCAAGAGTAACTGAAGCTATGGAAAGGTAATTATTATTCATTACACATTACACATTTATTTTATTATATTATAAAATACAATTTGAATAATAGAAAGATTTCATTTTTTTATAGAACAATAAGATGGTTGGATAGATGTTTATCAGCACACGAAAGATCCGACGAACAAAATATATTTCCTATTGTACAAGGTGGATTAAATCCTGTATTAAGAATGAAATGTGCAGATGAATTAATTAAAAGAAAAGTAAATGGTTATGCAATTGGAGGATTAAGGTATTATCAATTTAAATATTATATATCTTATTTATAACTTAATGAAATAATAAATAAATGAAAAATGTATTACAGCGGTGGCGAAAGTAAAGATATATTTTGGAAAATGGTATATCTTTCTACTGATATTCTTCCTAAAGACAAACCTCGTTATTTAATGGGTGTTGGTTTCGCTATCGATTTAGTTGTATGCTGTGCATTAGGTGTTGACATGTTTGATTGTGTATTTCCTACAAGAACCGCTGTAAGTAAGATGCTACTTATTCTTTATTATACTTAATAAACAAGTACTAATTAAAACTAATCATTTCAGAGATTTGGATGTGCTTTGGTGCGTACAGGTCAATTAAATTTAAAACAAAGCAAATTTAGTAATGATATGAGACCAATCGATGAATCTTGTTCATGTAGCACTTGTAAAACGTATACACGTGCATATCTTCATCATTTGGTTACAATAGAAACAGTAGCATGTCATTTATTAACGGTTCATAATATTGCATTTCAAATGAAATTAATGGAAGACATCAGAGAAAGTATAAAGCAACAAAAGTATCCAGAATTTGTACAAAATTATATGTCAATTGTGTATCCAGATAAAAATTATCCAGAATGGATAGTTGATGCTCTGCAAGCAGTTAATATTATATTATTATAACGATTAATGGAATTAGTTATCCATACAATACCAAATACAACGACTTTTGTAAGTATTCTTTACATTGTATACTATATTACTAAAGATAATTTATGTAATATAATGAGAATGCTATTAACATATTACTAAAATAAAATATTTTTCAATAAAGTCGTTAATCACATAATAGACAATTATTTATTAACACGTTCACTATCGTGCCATGGAAAAGAGTTTACAATCATAGCTTAGAATTTATCAAAGTCGATGTATCACAGATTGCGAACGAGTTAATAATATCTTTACAATATAGATATAATATTAAATACAAGTATTTGATCAGTATTATCATCATATAACATGATCAATACAAGTGCTTTCTATTTTATTTTAATAATATTCTTTGTAATATACATAAAATATATTTTACAATAGGCACCACTTGTAATAATTTAAATAATATTGAATTCATCACATAAAGTCATCCGAATCATAACCGCTGGTTTCTGTATTTGACGTCATGCTTTGCGAATTGAATAACGAATTATAGCTTCTGTAGAAACACATAAAGATATATTAAATAATAATAATAATAATATGCACGACGCATTGGAATATAAGAAAAATTGAATAATTATAAATGGGGAAACAGAGCATACCTTATTTCGGCTTCTTCTTGACGTCTTTTCTCTTCCGCTTTTTCTTTTTCCTTTTGTTCCCTCAAAAGTCTCTTCTTATCCTCTCTTTCACTTCTATCTCTTTGTTCTCTTTCCGCTTGTAAATTAACTTGCTCAGAACGTTTGGTTTTAATCAGTCGATTAACGATAGCATTCACACGTTTGGCAACATGAATTTTTCTAACATCTTTCTCCTTATAAAAACCAACTTGACCGACTTCCATTCCTCGGGTTTTTTTCAAATTAGACCACATCGTGTAGACGACATCGATATCGTTCATTTTATTTCCATCGATACTATTAGCTTTAACCAATTGTGCAGCATCTTCCAAAACTGTACTTGGTATGTCGTCTATCGTTTGGCCCTAAATATAATACAGAAAAGAAAGAGAAGATAATCTATTGTTTACAATTATTTACAATAATAATAATATTGAAATAAATTTAGAAATGATTTTTACCGGGTGTAATCGTAAATATACATGAGCCGATGAATATTTATCCACGTGAAACCAAACATCCTCCGGCCAACCCCACTTAATTAAATCCTCGTCTATAATAAAATGTATCAAAATGATATTAATATATTAATCTTTTATTAATTAATAATTATTACGATAAAAAGTAATATTCAACTTACTTTCATATTTATCAACTCCCATGAATAATGTTACTGGTGGTTGTACAACTGCAATGAAATAATAATCATTTACATCCTAACCTCAAAACATTCTCATGAAAAATTATAATTATAATTATATTCGCAAGTAAAATATAATATAGATGAATTTTTAAGAAATGTACGATATAAAGATTATTAATTACCGTTACTTGTAAAATAATAAACCATTGTTTCGTAATTATTTCTATAAATGCACGTGCTAACGAAACGAACTGTCGAAAACAATTGTCAAAAATAATAACGACACTAGCGCCACCGAGCGACTAAAAATTCGACTACTATCGATTATTAATATATCGACTATCGAATTTTCAAATTCTTCATTTAAATTGTAATTAAAATATTTTTATATACATTCTCATTAATAATTACTTATTTATTGTAATAGAATAATCCGAATATTTGAAATTGAAGCTTAACATTTTAAAAATCGAAATGAAGATATATTATAATTAATAGTATAACGTAGATAAATATTTAATTTATTATATAAATTTAAAAAGTACAAAGAGAGAGACATTGTTATTTTAAAATAAATAAGCTTATATATAAATACACAGCACATTTCTATTTCTTTTGAAATCATTTCTATATAATAAACAGTTAAAACAGAATTTATATATTACTTTAAAGTTATTACTTTCGTCGAACAGCTAATAATTAAATAATGACTTAGATTATATTAGATCTTTTTAATATGATCTTTAAGAATATTAGTTAATTCAGTAAATATGTGATTTTGTTTTCTATCTCTTTTTAACAAACTGCATTGAAATACCAAATTTCTTGTCAATCAACATATATATATATATATATTTATTTATATCTTGCATTAAGATCTATTTTTGTAAGTTTAATATGAAAATATGTTTGTCCTATAGATAACGAAGATTTTCATTTGCAAATAATAATATTATTCTATTGCATAACGATTAAAATCAAGGCCATGTTTTTCGGTATGATAGGTTTTAAATATTTGACTAAATACAGGACAGATTTCGGGATCGTTGCTCCATTCGGCTGATCTCATAGGTACATCTAACATGTTTAAGTATACTGTGAAGAATAGTTTAATAATAACATAAAATAACATATATCTTTAAATGATTCTATTAAAAAGAAAATCAATTTATAATTTACCGAGAAGAGCTTTTGGATTATTAATACTGAGTTGTACTTGAGGATCATTCAAAATAGCTTGATAAATCAAATCATTTGGATTAAGACCGACATCCATATATATTAAACTTGAATCTCGATTACCAAGTAACCATTCACACTATAAATAGTACAAATATCTTGTAATTATAATAATATAGATATTACATTTGATACAATATTATGCTTACCGCATTAATTGCATTATTTGCAGATATTTTTAATGCTTCTATTATATCTCTTTCTGAAAAACCCATTTCCTTAAATCTTATTATCCATTCACGGTCTACACAAAAATTCAATTTTCTGGTATAACGAAAATATTCTATCAAGACAGTTACAATGTTTAACAAATTCTCTTCCACGTATTTCGCGTTTCCATCTAAATGTTAATACAATCAATAATATTTATGTTATAAGTAATACAAATTCAGATATCCATGTATTGAATGATGTTTTAATGTGCAATATTATTACCATTAAAAAGATCTTTGCATGCATCCCAATAGCTAATTTGTATCATCTCTGATGAATTAATATCTTCTTCATTGGAATTCTTTTTGGCTATTAAATTTAACATTACTGGCATATCAAAAAACTCAGGTGGTTCATATCGATGTTCTATCAGGCAATTTATAGCATCTGACAAAATATTCCTATAAAAATGATATAATTTACTATATTACATCACATATTTTATTTGAAAAAAAAAAAAAAAAAACAAATATATGATTATATCATTATATTACTTACTTTTTTACATAAAGTGCTGCAACAGCCTGTTCCCTAGAAAATTGAAAACCAATTATCGCTTTAATATTTCTCTCACTAATTGTCGGTAAACATGATTTTTGAAATTTCTTTTTAATCGTTTGAAATAGATTTAATGCTTCTGAACTACCCATTAATAATCGAGCCGATAAAGATACAAGTGTTAATATAATTTTACGAGTTTCAGCCTAAAATCATAGATAAAACACAAATATTTAATAAATATTATACAATATATATATCATAAATATAATCTTACATGAAAATCGAAACCAAAAGGTGCTATATATTTAGGTGGATTTTTTATGGGTAAATTACAAGTAGCATTTTGTACATCTATTGCGCTTGGACTTTTGATATTTACTTCCGATAAAAAGAGTTTCTTAAAATAAGGATTGAATGACATTAATAATAATTCATCTGAAATCAAAATAATATATATATATATATATACATACATATATGATATACATAATGTCTACACGGTCTACCGTTAATAATAATAATTAAAATTTACCTTGATAATTAATTCCTTCTTCCTGAACTGTTTTACAATCTGCGAGTGGTTTAAGTTTATTTGCATGGACTAAACGATATAGGGTAATTGGTTGATTCATTTGGTGAAAATATCGAACCGCTATTTCTTTAATAGTTTGAATCTTTGTATTCATATCTACCTCCACATTATATACAAAACCATTCGTACTGTATAAACAAAAATATATATAATAATTGAATATTTTTAATATTTAATGAAGAAAATTAATGAATATTTATTAATATTATAAAATAACAAACCTGATAACTTTAACGAAAAATTGACCTAAGGGTGTCAGATTCATGCTTTTGTTATTTTCTGAATTGCCTGTGCTTGTTGAAGAAGGAGCCAAGGACTGCCTTTCGGCAGTCCTTGGACTCTTTCTATTATACCAGGCTTCTGCTATTCGGTTACGCATCCATGGAATCATCAATTTGGCCTATAATACAAACAATCTATGTCAACAATATCTTTTGTTTACTTTTATTCAAAATAAATAGGAAGGGGGGGGAAATATGTTCATTCGACTCTTCATGTTTGAACTTTCACTTGAATAATATATTATACAAATTACTTACTTCGTTTATAAACGTTGAATTTAATGAATTATTTTGTTAATAATAATTTTAATTTTGATTTATTATAATATGTTTAATATTATCATTAGCATGCAGAATTGTTAGTTAAATATGTATACATAGATTTTTAATTAAGTTACATCAAATTGTATTAAATAAAGTTAACCCAATTAATATTGTTGTTATTAATTAATTGTTTTCAAAGTATATCTCTTACAGAATTGAGATGCACCAAACTTGCATTAATTTAAATCATTATGCAATTATCAAATACAATTTTTGTTTATGATCAATAATATTGTCATTATTCCGATAGATAGCGTTATTAGAAAATGTCATGTGGTAACACTGTTTACTAATACCATTAGATTAATGATATACAAAATGATTAACGTGTGTAGATAACTATATTGATAAATCTGTATTTAATATGTATAACAAGTAGTTAAATTAAGTCTTAAAAACACGTGGTGAGTACAATGCGTTGTGTGTTGTGTAGTGTGTATACGCCATTAACTATTGTTCTTTTGTTCTTAATGTTTGTTGGTCTGTTTTATCATTTGAGGTATAGTTGTATAAGCGGCCTGCAGAGGCCTGACTCTGATCATATGATATTGATCATATTTATAATTATTATTGATTTTACAACCAAAAACAAGACATGATATTATTAAGAATAAAGAATTTATCCTTTGTTTATTGGAAGGAATTGACTTTATCGGCTATCAGTAACAAACAGAAAACTCATCATTACCGACTAAGTTTTTAAATGGCAATATGGACTAGACTCGTAAAATGCACTATGGGATAAACAAAAGAAACATGACTTAAGTTCGTATACGTTTTAAAAGTCAAGTATTAAAAGCCCTAATAATACCTATACGAATGAATCATCGTCGTAATATAATGTGAGAAGTTATAATTACTCGAAGTTGTCATGTTGTTGTGGTGTGACCCTGATCATAGTCCATAATTTTATGCGCATGTGTATTCTATTTGTTATTACATATTCTATTAAGATAACAAAATAGCAATAGCAATAAAAGTAATATAAATTAAAAATTACATTATATATCAATAATTCTTTGTATTAATATTGTAGATTATTTCAAAAAAAAACAAAAAATGATAATTCTTTTAAATTATAAACATAGCAATATCAAACACTATTACATTTTATAATAATAAGATAAATGAAATATTATTTTTATAGACAATTATTAATTACGAAAGATATCATAATTTGAAGTTATTATAATGGCAGAGGAATCAGGTTGCGGTGAATTACAACAATTGGTTCAAGAAGAAGAATGTGAAGAACCATTAAGTCGTGGTGGTGAAGCTACACCACCATCAACTCCAGCAAGATCACAACATCCAAGTAAAAATGAAACCCATAGCTCTCATGTTTCGGTATGGATAATATGTTGCTTTAATTAACAATACAGATATATATATTAATCAATGAATAAATCTTTAGCAACAAGTATTATGGGAGAGCAATGCACAGACTTCACCTATCATTAGTAAAGGTAGTTCGGGTCAAGCAACGAGTCAAGGTTCTATGGTTTCTGGTAGAGCTAATATTTTTTCTAATCATACTACCAATCAATCTCGTTTGATTTATATCAATGAAAAAGAAAAACAAAGACCTAATCGACCAGAACCTCCAAGGCTCAATAGACAACAAAAAGGTATTACTAATTTGTACTATGCTAATTTATCCACATATTTTATTATTTTATTTGTATATTTTGTATAATTTGCTTTCATTGTAATCATTCATTTGATTTCTGCACTCTTACTTATTTTTATATGATTTAAAATGATATATATATATATATATTTTTTTTTTTGTAAAAGAATATTTCGCAATTATTTTGATTTACATTTTATTTTTCAATTGATCACACGCATTTTGGTTTTGTTTTGGTGTCATAATTAAATAATAGACATGACGCCGTGCAAACACCATTGTTTTTTATCAGAGGTACCCGATGTCAGACGCATGGAACAAGCATTACTGCAATTATTGGAAGATTTTCATAGCGGAAATTTACGAGCCTTTGGTTTGTATTTATTAATGTCTACAAGTAAAAAAGATTAAACGAGACATAAAGAGATCAAATTGTTAATATACAAAATATATAGGTAAAGATTGCAGTATGGAACAAATGACAGAGATTAGAGAACAACAGGAACGTTTAGCAAGACTTCATTTTGAATTAGGTCAAAAACAAGAAGTTGGTAGCGATCAGTCTGGTTTAAGACAATCAAGTGCAAATATGAGACATTTATTACATCGTCTTCAACAACTTAGCGTTTGCATTGAAAAATTGCATAGTAAATAAATTTCATATTCGAGATTTTCTTGTACATTTTTTTACTATTTTCATATTATATATATATATATATATATAAACTAGGGGGTTTCCCGCCACATGTTGCTGTACTGACTCACAATCAGTCCAATACACACGTCATCTGTTAGAATCTTATCGAACTAACAGAGATAATCATGATTCTTTGTTAATAAACAAATAATTTCATTATTAATTGAGATATAAACTATCCTATCTTTCAAGTTGAATGAAACTGCAGGCAGTGTGGAAAATTTGATTAAAATCGGTTCAATAATTTTGGAGTTCATTGCGGACAAACAACGTGACATGTAATTTATATATATTAAGATTTATCTTATAAGAGATCAATGAGAATATTATATCAGATTTTCTTCCCCGATGTATAATTATGTTAACAATATATAAAATATCTGTCAACAATCAATTTCTCCTTGGTTATATCTTTTCTTTTTTTTTTTTTTATAAAACAATGATGTATCTAGAATATATATATATCAAACTTCACTGTTACATCTCAACATTGATTAAATATCAAAACCATGGCAGATTGTGTTGAACATAAAAGAAATATACATCTTTATGAAGAACCAACTACTTACAAATACGATTATGTAGAACATCCATTAAGTTTAACAAAGGTAAATTTATAATTATGTTAAACAATTATATTATGTAAAATAATTGATCGTATTTTTTGTTGTTAGAAAACTCCTGTAGTAACAAATGATTTAAAGTCATCAAAGGATACCAAATGTATGGACTCATTGAAACTGCCATTTTCAACTCATGATACTTTTCAACGTTTGAGTTATGATAAACGAATACCATTTAATACTCTTTGGCAATCTAAAGATGCAGTAAGTGTTTCTATAAAGCCAATAACTCGACACAAAATTCTTGGAGATCATCGAAATCATGAAGTGATAAGGTCAACGAAATAATTATTGTAATATGTAAAGAAATAATATACTCATATATATATATATAAAGAAATAATAATGCAGATCTAGGCCACGTGTTTATATGACACCAAGTATAAGTCTCGATGATATACAAAATTCTGATACGAGAAAATTATTACTTGATTTTACATACACGACAACATTTCATTATAACAGTAAAGATGTTTGGGGTGATTTTAAATCAAAACATCCATGTACCACTGAAATAAATATCGAAGAAATATCTAAAGAAGTATGTTCTCTATGTAATCATTGTTTTATTATGTTAATTAAATGTTCAAATAATAAATAACTAATTGATTGAAATATTTATTTTACAGAGTAAGCAAAAACCATTGTGTTCTTTATCAGCACGATTTTCTAAAGAAGCTGAAGAATGGGATAAATTACAAGATCGTTCATTTATATTGAATAATATTACAAAATTAGATTCTATAGATAGGTAAATTGATAATAATATATCATACATTTTTCTTAAAAATTAACACAATTATTTCTAATCATTTCTAGTAATGCAGAAAGTAAGAAATTAGAAATGGAACAAGAAAGTGAACGTGTGATGGTGGTGAAACAATTATTAGACAAAGATAAATTGCGTTTACCTTATCATAAATTACCTTCATCTTATGGTGGTTATAGACAACATATTGGTTTAGGTATTCCTTTAGAAAAAAAGGTATTACCAAGTGCTCATCCAGATTTATCTGTATCACAGGCACTTCATCAGTATGTACATTTGTTTAATATATTTTATTATTGTTGTATATATTTCATCATAATTTAATATTTTATCTATCAATTTATATTGCAGAAAGTATTTCGAAAATTTTAAATTATAAAGAGAAATATTTGACAAGATTTGTTTCATTGCTAAAAACATTTACTGAAAATTATATTATTTAAATAGTACGTATATAAAATATGATGATTATTTTTTCTTTTTATATATAAATAGTAATAGCATTTGAAATAATTCATTGCTTTTTTTTTTATATATATATATATATAGATTGTTAAAATAAATATATATCAATTTCTTATCATGATTAATCTTGTATAAATATATGTATATATTAAGCTTCAAATAGATGAAGAAATGGTTAAGGAAATTTGTTTTTTTTTTTTTTTGACTATGTAACAATCGTTGAATCTAGAATTATTTGATCTTACATTAAAATATTAGAAAATAATAATGCAAGAATATTATTATTCACAAGTTATTCATTGCATCATAAAATAAAACATAAGGATAGTGCATGTGCTGCACGTTTTCTGACAATGCTTTCTGTATCTTTTAACAGTTGGAGCAATCTTTGTATATCTTCTGGTCTTGGTGAACCAAAGTATCCTAAAAGTAACGCAGATGTGGCTCTGGTATTCCAATTTTCGGACCTTGAATATCCTCGAACTACAGCATTTCTGAAAATAGTAAATAATTAAGATGAGTCCCACAAGTAATGAATGTAATAACGTTGAAATCAGAACAATATAATTTATACCTAAGTTCTTCAGCTCTTTGTGGAAGCTCTTTTTGTAGACATTGAATTAAATTGGAAATAAATTTTTCAAAATGAAATTCAATATTTGGTCCTAAAGAAGCGTGTATTATATCAAACAATGGTTGACATTGCAATAAACTTGCTGTATTACGTAAAGCTTCTTGTGCTACCTGTTGATTATAATAATAAAATATATTAAAATAGAAAATTTGTAAAATAAATAATTAATAATTATTAATAGAGTACCTTAGCCACTGTGATATTTTCATCTTCTAGTCTTATCGTAAGACATGGTAAACAACCCAAAAGATGATCCCTTATATCATCGTCTTGTGATAAAACAATTTTTTGCCAACTAGAAGCTACAGCACTTAATGCACTTATAGCTGCTAATCTCATTTCCCAATTTTCTTTTTCAATAAATGGTTTTAAAGCAAGTACAACTCGAGGACTTACTGGACGAGCAAATTGAACTGACAATAATACAGAAAGACCACGTAACGATTCTAAAATCACATCATTGCCTCCATCACCACTAGCAGGTTCTTCCAAACCATCGAGCAAAGCATCCATACAATTATCGAAATATTCATCAACCTGAAACAATATAATATTATATAAAAACATGATGAAACTGCACACAGTGTGGAAAATTTGATTAAAATCGGTTCAGTAGTTTAAGAGTCCATTGCGGACAAACAACGTGACACGTAATTTATATATATTAAGATGTACTATTTTGAAAAATATGATTATACAAACATTTGTTTACCTGTTTAGGCTCTAAATAAGCAATTCTTGCGAGTCCGATAGTAGCTAATTTTCGAACCAAAGGAGACGAATCAGCTTTAGCTTCATACAATGTATTTATGATTCCATCGAGCCATATACCATTATAATTAATTTTTCCTATTAATTCGGAATAAAAAGTAGTAGCTACCACTCTCTGCGCGCATATTGTACTGGTCATCATTTTTCCCAATGATTGACCCAAAGATAACAATACGTTATTCTTCGTAGATATACATTTAACCATTGAACGTACTATTGCCACTATATTTTCCTCTGTTTGCGTTTCAGAGATAAATGACTAGAATTAATAAATTATTTTAATAAACATTGCAACTTTTTTTTTAAATATACATTTAAATAGAAATAATTAGCTCACACTTTCGTTAAGTAAATTCGATGCTATGTTTGAATCAACTGTAGTTAATACATTAATTAATGCGGAATAAACTTCTGTATATGGATTTATCTTACATCCTTCTCTATTTGGAACGTAACCAAATTTGGTATTAACAACGCATATAGGAGCATCAACGTGTAACCATCCTGATAAATATTTCAATAATACTGATAATAGATTTGGTAATTCTTTATTGATCATCTCTTTCGAATTTGAAGATTGTAATAAATGTTGTAGAGCAACAATAGCTGCCAATGATGAAAAAGATGCAACATCATTTTTTCCATTTTGTGTAGTTGCAGTTTCCATGAATAAATGATTGTTTTCTAAGTTTATTAAAAGTAATTCCAAAGCCTAAGAAAATGAAGTTAGGAATTGTAATATATTGAATAAAATTTAATAGTTTAAAAATAATTAATTAAAATATCATTAAAACATACACGAGTGCCTAAATCTGAACTGATACCAAGTGCCTTCCAACATTCTTCGCTTCCTCTATCCAATGGTAATGGTTGACATAAAAGTCGTTCAATTACTTCTTCAGGATGATGTTCCATTAAAGATTTAATAGCAACTGATGTACTTTTTCTATAATTAATATCTTCCATTTGTCTCATTTGTGCAATAATATTATCTATATAGAATAATTACAAGAAAATAAATATATTATCATATTAAAATTTGTACAAAATATTGATCTAAATACTCACCAACCAAAGTAATATCATTTCTAGATATTTCCGATCCTCGAACTTTTAAATGTTGAGATAAAGCTATACTTGCAGCAAGACTTGCTTCTCCACGAAACAACAAAGCTTCTATTAAACCTTCTGCTAAGCTGATTATGTCACCACTATTAATTCTTTCAGATACAGCTGTTGTTAAGACCTAAATATAAAAAAATATATATTATTAGATTTATTATAGAAAACATCGTGAAGTATAATCAACTTACCTTGATGCCATCGTAAAAAGCTTTGGGATCTTCACCAACAATAATCTTCTTAGAATTATTTAAATCTTTGTCTAAATTATTATCAGATGTTAAAGCACGATGACGTGCTCCAATATTTAAAGACAATGCTACACAATCTATCGCTATTGGTCTAAGTGAACGTTCTGAATCTGCACACCACGATAACACTCTTCCCATAAGTCTTCCTGGTTCTAATTTACCACCAGGATATGTATACTTTAAAGAATTATAGTATGATCTATAAATGGAAAATTAAATTAATATAAAAATAATAATAATAATAATACTTTGTTATAAAAATGATTAATTTACCTGAGTGCCATTCTTAACACTAATAAGGTAGTTCTTCTTTCGGTGATTGATTTCGATTGCATCCATGGTAACATTATGTCAATAAGATCAGCTAATGCATCTGCAGAATCGGATACAATTTCGCAACATGCAATTCCTAACTCGTCTATTACCTGTTGCATAAATTCTGATTGTAGCAATAAAACTACCTGTAAAAAAAAAATACATTACATTAGATATCATGAAAATATTTGTACATTGTGTGTTGTTTACCTCTGTACTGGCACCTATAACTTTATCCAAAATTGAGCTCAACAAAATTCCTTTTTCATCTGAATTCAATTCAGGTGGTACACGTCTATATTTAAATTTTCAGGAATTTTTTGATACAATAATATAATAATAATAATAATAATAAAATTAATACATCTATTATAGATAATTTTGTAGAAAAAGGATACACAAGTGATACTATAGTCTTCAATACTTTTGGGTACAGTTGTAATGGTCGATATCCTGTAGATGATTGCAAAATTCCTAATAATATAGCAAGCGCATTACTTTTTGCATATAATCCCGTTGATTTTTGCAATCTATTAGGATGAACAGCGTTGGCAACCTTAACAAAATTGACTAATAAATATAATCGTATAAAGATACCTTTATACATGAATAAAATATCGAATTACTTGTTCTAATGCTAATAATCCAGCTTCTTTAGTAGTTAATTCTTTACAGTCACTCAATTGTCGTATAATCCATGATAATATATTTTTCTCGAACGAAGAATATAATTTTTCTACATCTCCCCTTTGTGCAATTTCAGCATAACATTTTAACAATCCAGCTTTTGCAGCTTCCGCTGTAGCTATAGCTTTAGAATCTTTAACAAAACCTAATAATTTAGCAGGAATTTTTCTTGTGTCCTCAGCCATACAAGCTTCTTCCATTAATTTAATAACAACATTCAAATGTCGTTTTGAACAAATTCCAACAGCTCTTGCGTATTCTTCATTCGATGTATTTGAACGTGCAAGTTCGATAAGAAGTGTTATATGTGCATTACTACTACACATTGATGCTAACAATGGTGCTACATGAGGTATACTAGCTTTTACAGCTAATTCATCAACGAGTTTTAAGCTCCATGCTTCTCCTTCTAATTCCATGCTTTCCTCTAAAAATTCAACTATTTTCTCTTCCCAACTCAGATTTCTATAATTGAAATCAAATCTTTAATATCATTTATTCGTTTAAGAAAACAGATAAGAAACGTACCGTTGTTCCACTAATTTGACATTAACAGTAAATTCGTCTTTTAAAAAATGTGTTATCTCATTTAATTTTTCATCCCAATATGGCATAAGTTGATGTCCCAATAAAGGTGCTGCAGCTTTTAAAAATGTTATGATGGGTAATCGATTTTGTACATCTCCCAATAATTCTAAACATCTGCTTAAAACTTTAGTACCAGGAAAATCTCGTTGATTATTCGATGCATTACCGCTGTTAACTATTTTTATAGCTAAAGGTGCTAAAGCACGCAATATAGATACTACCTAGAAAAATATCAATAATGAGATTACATATTAATTTGTAATATAATGCAAGTTTTGTAATATTTTTGTATTATGAATTATTTGTCAATATATATATATATACCGACGACACACAAGCTGGATCCAGTAAAGCACGTATTAAACAAGGCCACAACCAAGATTCTGCACCGTCAACTGTTGTTGCAAGTAAATGCAATGCTTCTGCGTATGCATCTGATTCATCATTTTTTGTACCACAATGAGTTACCTTAAATAATTGATAAAATATACTTAACATTTTCTTTATTTAATTTCAATCATTTCATTGTATAATTATTTACCATATAACGAACGAAGGTTGCTCTTTGTGATGGTAAAAGTGGTACCGTAGGACGTGCTGCGAGTGTTACAATAGCTCCAACCATTTGCAATGCACTATTATCTCCCAAAGATTCTTGTAAACTAAGTGCAATTCGTTGTAATGTTGTATCATCCTAGAAATATTGAAGATTTCATGTATATATACATTTGTTTTTTTATTAAATATTATTTATTATAATGTTTTTAATACCTCAGATGGAAGTGTATTAATAAGATGTTTAAGAACTACCAAAGCTCGTGCCTTCTGAGATACTGATGTGGACTTCAATTGTTGTAAAATTCTACAATAATATATATTTAAGTATTGTTTATAATTAAAAATTTTCTAAATCTATTATAAATTCAAAAAACCATTACCTATCTAAGCCTTCTTCTGGATATAATATAATCAATGATCTAAAACATTGTAAAACTTGATAATGAGTTAAAAGTACATCTCGAGATGCCTCAAATGGAACTGTACAAACTAATTCGGATAAAACTTGATGTATCTGTTCTAGAAATGAACGAAGAGCTTCTTTCTCGTTTTCCATAGCACAACTCAAAACCATTGCTAAGACTCTACAATATTAAATAAGTTTGATGAAATGATAATGCATCATTGTAAATAAATAAAACAACTTATAAATGAGAGTATACCTAACTGCTCCTAAACGAGTGTTAGGTTTTTTACAAAAATTTAATAACATGGGTGTTAATTTAACAATTCTTTCGCAATCTACTTCTTGGGGTAGCAATGGTATCATATGAACAATTGCTGACAACACTGCTTCAACTCCTTTATAATCCTTAGCTGTTTTTATCCAAGTAAATGTTAATACATCAAAAGCAGAACATATTTCTTCTTTAAACGTTTCCTTACTGATTTCTGGAGATGCATTTTTTTCTGTATTTAATATATAATCGTTTATAGCTTCTGCAATCTTTCCAAGTGCTGTATAAAAAAAATATGTTAATTAATCAAATATTTTGTATCAAAAATTTTATTCGACAATTATAAACTTACTAAGACAGAATGCATTTTTTAATATCTCATCACGTGTTTGAGTTAACATTGGAATCATAATAGTTAATGTTATTTTGAAGAAAGATATCATTGTAAGTGGATTACGTTCTGCTATCATTCCTAAAGTACGAACTACTGTATGGTGTGGTAATATTCCAGGTTCCAATCTATTTAAAAATATTTGATCATTTATAAATAAATATTGAATATATGATAATAGTGCAATCAAAGAAAAGAAAGAAGATTACTTGGTCAAGAGGACACCTAATGCTTGTGTACAATGTATTTGACTCAATGAAATTAATAATTCTACAGCTTCTTTTTCAGCATTCCCCATGAGTTCATTAACAGCTAGTTCTGCAACCGATGAAGCTAAATCCCTATTCAAATGTGCACCATGGCATTGACATGTTTCAGACATCACTGTTAATAATGAAGCCATATGTTCTGATGATATCTAAATAAACAAATAAAAATTAATTAAAATCTTTGCACTATAACAATATGTAAGATTTGTGATGTGTTTTATAACTCAAAACATGAGAAATGAGGATTTTATTCATGACAGATCTTACGTGTTAAACATAACATAGTAAATCAAATATACCTTTCTATGAAGTTCCCAAAAATATACAGCAGCATGAATGACGACTTCAGGATTTTGTTCAGCTATTTTTTTAATTGCATTAATTACCGACTGCTTGACATCTGCTGATTTATCATCTAATGTATCTAACAATGCTCCAATTACAGCTAAACAAATAAAACATAACCTGTCATATTTCACTCAAAGATATATTTTCAATATAATTAATTTATTATTTGATAAAAAATACCTGGTAACTCAGAATGACAAGAATTTTCCATTTCTTCTTTCATGATGAATTATTTTACAAATCTTGATTAAATATATATATATATATATATGTATATATTACAATAAAAATATAGATAATTAAAATAATAAAATGATCATATTCGTAGTAAATTCGTTTACATGATATACACACACGTACAACTCGTATTTATTTTTAAAAATGTACACTTTCACATGTCACGTTTTAAATTAACGTTTAATTATTTGGATTTTTTTTTTTTAATTGTAGACGAACATATTTCCAATTGTTTCGTTTGATTAATAAACTAGCACTGTCACGTTGTTAGAAACGAATAAGCAACGTAAATTCAACATCATCAGGATGACACCGTGTACAGGTAATATTATCTGTTTAGTATACATATGGATAATACACTGGTATCAATGTAGTAAAAATGTTATTGCGTTGGTATTTACCACATTCGTGTTATCTTATACGTAACTATATCATATACTGAACTTATAACAATTTATTTTAAAATAGTTATTTACATTAGCACATAAATAAATACTTTATTTATAAAATGAAATTATTCGTTTGAACAATTTTTATTATTGTTCCAATAAATAAAAACAAAGGACAAGATTTTTTATTTTTTTTAATAGAAGAAATATTAAATAGTTACAATTAATATTTATATTTATAAAATAAAATTCAACGATAATTTCATATTTTTTTTATTTCGTATATTTTATATGTATTTATACTTATCAATTATAGAATAATATTAACCATGAAAATACGTGATATATACTATGATTTACATTTTTACTTTTTAATTATTGATTTGTTATGTAAAATATATACAAGAACAATTATTGAAATATGAGATGGTAATAAATTATAGTACAATCTATTTCATTAAAAATGATGTTTGATTAAAACAAATCCTGGTGAGGTATGCTAGATGTCAACAAGCTTAACAATGAATCATTGTTGCTAGATTTGTTTTAAACTGTAACCGGTGGCATAATATCCATTCCTTGACATTCTAAAGCTATTTTAACTCCCAATGAAAAAAATGCAATGCTTTTCACCATCGACCTGCAGAAATATATGGTGTTACATATAATAAATAATTAGTTATTAAATATTTATGTTTAATTAATATTAGATAAAAAGGTTAGTCCTTAAAATTGACTTAAGAAAGATTTAATACATATAATTATTTATTATAAATTTATAGGATATTTACCATTTAAATGGATCATAATACATTCCTTTTACGACATCCGTTACAGTATTAACTGCATTATTCATTTTTTTAAACATATTGCGTTGCTTATTGTTTTATTTTAACTGTATGTAAGTAAAATTTATTGCAACAATAAAATAAAATTGTGTGAAACACGTGCAATAATGTACACTGTTTATCGATCTGGTACATGAAGTGTTAAATTTGACCGGCAGATGGCGTAATGATAAGAGGGAAATTTAAATTTTAATGTAACCACATTTTTTGAACAAATGATATTGAAGTATCAAAAATGACATATAATTAAATTTACAAATAGACTATTTTCTAAAATATGTAATAATTATTTGTTAAAAAATAAATGTAGCTTATATCGGTAAAATAGTAGAAAATTATGGCGAGTAAAACGGCATCTAGCAACAAAATGATAAACCATTTGAGTTCTTAGTACATCTGACATAAATGGATGATTAATCAACGACAACATGTATATTTATTGAGATTGTGTTCAATTAAAATAGTCTTTCATCATGTTTATAATGACCGTAATATATAACGATGAGTGTACAACGTATTTTCAATATATAAGACATAAAGAACAATAGTTATCTTATCGACATATTTATTCCATTGTGTTATTAAGTCTTAAAAACACAGTTATTTTTTCTTCATCTATTACTGTTGTTTGAAATTATATATAAAAAGAGAAATGGGAGCAGGAAAAAGCCAATTTACTGAAGAGGAATTACAAGATTATCAGGTGATTTAGATACATTAATTAATTAATATAAACAATGACAACAACATCTTTAAGAAATACATTTATTTCATTTGTATTATGTTTGATTATTTAATTTAATATTTCTTTTTTTTTAGGATCTGACATATTTCACCAAGAAAGAAGTGCTATAGTAAGTATAAATTATGAATTATCAATATTAACTATTAATAATTATAAATACCTTGATTTCATTTCATGTTAGTGCACATCAAAAGTTTAAAGCTCTCGCTCCAGAAAAGGTTGGACATAATAGGAATGCAAAGCTTCCTATGTCCAAGATTTTGCAATATCCAGAATTAAGAGTAAATCCTTTTGGAGATAGAATCTGCAAAGTTTTTAGTTCTAGTCAAGATGGAGATTGTACATTTGAAGATTTCTTAGATATGATGTCAGTGTTTAGCGATGCTGCTCCAAAAGCTGTCAAAGCTGAACACGCTTTTAGAATATTTGGTAATATTTCTATCATGATTATAAAAATGTGCATATCATTATCATTCATTGTAATTAATTTTGTTTATCTGTGTATAGATTTTGATGGTGATGACATGTTGGGTATAGGAGACTTGAGATTGGTTGTTGACAGATTGACAGCACCTCAAAGATTAAGTGAAATGGATATGCAACAACTTCTTCAATACATTCTCGATGAAGCTGATTTGGATGATGATGGTGCTCTCAGTTTTGCTGAATTTGAACATATAATAGAAAAAAGCAGCGATTTTTCCAAGTAAAAATATTATTTGATTAATTTTAAATGAATAATTTGATGAATAACAATTTAATAATATTATTTTTACTTGCAGGACTTTTCGTATACGCTTGTGAATTATAATAGTAAAATGACCAAAGTATATAGTTAACGAAAGACTGAATATTAATAATAATAATTAATGCTAAAGCTGGTATATTGGCACTAGGCCTAAATTTTGTTCGTCTTTTCACATGAACATTAGAAAGTAATATTAGAAGTCCTAAAATGTGCCAAGTCCAAATGGTCAGGCCTAACAATTAACAATGACAACAAGTAAATATTTTTCTCTTTTACTTTTTACAAGATCTTATATGCATAAATTAACTTTCTATTTCTACAGTATTCTACATGATATTTCTCATTAATATATAGTAATAATAATATAGTCTATTTAAGATATGCGATTTGACGTCAAAAGACATTATTTATTCGACAAATTTTTTTTTAGTCTAAATATTAGTATGCAATTTATACTACATGCATTTATTCATATAGTATAAACTTAGATACTTAATTTATTGCATTTCTTGTTGTATTATATTATGCATAATTCACAAAGATTCCAAGACATTATTTAATTATTTAAATACGAATAAATAAACGTTTCATTTAATATATCATATATTTTTAATTTATTAATAGGTATATTTAATAAAAAAAAAAACATTGTTTTTTTTTTTTATTAAATAATATATTTACAAGAAATTTCTTTTATATATTCTTTGTTTTTTTTTTTTTTATAAAAAATGTTATTATTAAATGTATCATTTCAAAATTATCTTGCATATACTTTGGAATGATTTATTCATGATTGTAAATATCCCCTAGAAAAAAAAAACAACAACAAAAAACCATCAGTTTAATAGATTGAATTTAAATCTAAATTACAACGATACAAAAAATAATCTTACGGTAGTTTCATGCGCATGAATATCCAGCAGGTAATAAATGATACAATTATACCGATGAATCCAACAGATATCAGAAGAATTCTGTTAAGTTTAGGTGTGGATGGACTATGTGTTTGTTCGAGTACGATGAACCCTAAGCCACCTAAAGTAAATAAAAAACTGGATGCTAATCCTTCCATAATATATTGACCATTTACACGATATGGCATAAATGCCACCTGTAAAAAAAACATATATAATAATTAATAAAATTCTATTTTTTTTTATAACACTTGTAATTTTAACTTACAGGTCTTGTATGACCATGCTCGTCGGTTGTTGATCCTACACTAGGTGGTTCAACGATAACATCATAAATTATACCTACAACATATCATTTTTTTGGTAATATTATTTAGAATTAATTTTATAAATATAAATCTCGTTTTTAATTATCATATACAACACATTTATATTAAAAAAAGAAAAATACATATTTTCAGAACTAACCTCCTGTCACCAAAAAATATGATAATAGAACGAACGAAAAAACTATCATTGCACTAGGTTTAACGAACCATGATGGTCTTTTAAGTTTTAAATTGGGCACTTCTAAAACGTAGAAAGGTAATTTATAAATATATTCCATATTTAAATAAAATATAAAATTATGAAAGATATGAGGGAAGATATGCAGTTTAGAATGACCGGTGTTGACGTGTGTGACATATATGTATCGATATGTTCCATTGTCAATGTTACCATACGTCGAGAAACATATCGATGTCGTATCGATATATATCGTTACGTAATTAAACGAGTTTTGATAGAATACATTTTTAATAATCAACAATATTTCTTATGCACAAATGTAAATAATGTTTAATAACATTGTTTATTTAAAAATTTTATTTATATATTTAAAAAAAGTATGCTATAAATATCAAATGAGAAGAAAAATACGACTATTGAAAAGTATATATGAATTTCGCGCTCGCGTTGCTAGGTGGGTAGAGTGGGGATTGGAGTGCGCATGCCCGAATGCGATCAGCTGTTTGGAACGTAGTCAGAGACCATTTTTTACACGTCGGCGTCTGTCTCGATCGAAATGCTGCTCTCCCGTAAAGTTTTTGAGCCTTGGATGATGAACGATTGCATTATAAAATACAATCTTTTGCCACGGTGAATATATTTCGAAGTTATCGAATTCCTAATGTGACACGTTCAACACCGGAAGTTTTTCTTTCGATAGCACCACGTCAGATTTTTGCAGTGCTATAATAGTGGTGGTGTGTGTATGGTGGTGGTGGTAGTGATGATGATTGTGTATTCATAAAAAAACATGGATGGTTCGGTCGGCGCACATTTTAATGCTGTCGATATTATGAGATTTCTCTGAAAAAGAAGATGAAGTTTTGTGTGACGTTCGTATATTGGGCACTACTTTTTATATCGGTCGTGTCAAGGTAAGATTTTTCACCGGTTTATTCAAATTTTCAATATTTTATTTAACAAGTATTTATATGCATAAATATATTTGCTACACCAGATGTAAAACGTGAAAATACATATTACATGTGCACTCAATTATCACATTTTTTGTTACTTTTATAAGATTTTTTTATCTTTAATTTCTTAATCATTCAAAGTCATATAACCTCTCTTACCTTGTATATTTTTTTTCTTTGCTATATATTTATTTTATATAATTTAAACGTTATTATAATATATATTTTTTGTTTTTTTTTTCCAGTGGCCTGTTGTTCCTAATTGTTGCATCAGAAAATGCGGAAGAAACGATTGAGACAGAGGTCTCGAAGAATGATGAAAGTTTTTACGAGTTTAACAATTCAACAATTACCGATGAAAGTGAAAAATACGAGATACCTGAGATACAGATTGCCCGAGTACAAAAAGCAGCAATAGAGGATGAATATTTGGAAGTACGTATCATAATATATATATATATATAATTGAAGGATAAATTATTTTAATCTTCGGCTTACATTAGATAAATATTTATGCATAATAATTAAACGTACATATTCGTGAAAGTTAATTAATTTCAATTATGTAATGATTAATATTATATAATAATTTGTTATATAATTCTGAATGCATTTAATTGACTTTCTTTTTTTATTTCTTTTTTTCAAGGATAGCCCAACCAAAGTGACTTCTAGTTTTGATACCTTAAATGCGTTGGATGACCACGTGGAAAATGATGTGGATGTTTTAGCTGAAAGTATCATACAACAGCCTAATCTTTCTCAAGGGTGAGTCATTTATTTTAACAAACAAAATTTCACAGTTGTTAAAGCAAGCAAAATTCTTACTCTTGTGTCTCTACGCTTATCGTTAATCGCATTATCGCCTATAAATCATTTAAACTCATGTCGATAAGAATGAATTGTTACGTTTTCGCATAACATCAAAACAAACGGGATTTCCAAAACGGTTGCGGAACCGATAGCAAAAAAAATAAATTACGAAATTGACAAGAACGAACTTTTTTCTTTTTTTATCGAAAATAACTGTAAACAAGGAATGTTTTAATTAAATTCGAGTTTTCATTGAAACTCTCGAGTAATTTCAATAATTCAAACACGTGTTTTGATCGGCTCATTAGAAAATATCTTATTGTTAGATTAGTTTCACATTATAACAGTATTATTAATTCTTTTCAATATATGTTCTTATCTCATTGCAATAAATTAATTGAAGAGTCATTGTATGATAAGGTCTGCTTCGTTTAATTTGAAACTAAATATTACTAATTTTGTGCGTTTCTGTTTTCATATCAGGGACATGATTGATATCGATACATTTCATTATAATTAATCCTACGTTTTATCTCATTTATATTCACGTCTTATGTCCTTTATAAATATTCTATAAGTAGAAGAAATTCATTATACATTGCTCTTATACATTGTATAACGATAAGAAGAAAAAAGCAGTTTTTCTCGTTAAAAAAAAAAAAAAAACAGTTCTTACAGTTAGATAAATGGAAACGTATTTGCACTTGATCCAAATGTTCGCATTCTAATGTAAGCAATTTAGAAATTTAGAAGGAGACGTTATAAATTGGAGACACACGGGGGGGAGAACGTTTACATCTGTTAGTACAATGACTTCCGATAGATACAACAGTACTCTTGTTTTATTCATTTTAATCGTATTGCGTGTTGGTTACTCTCGTTAACGTACGAATATGCCGTTTATTGTTAGATTATAAATTAGAGGCGCCCCTTTTCCTTTCTAAATATAGTTAGACATTAAATGCCAATGATTTATTCCTGTTGATGATAGCCAATGTTATACACATACATATCAGAAGTCACTTGTACTTTTATATATATATATATATATATATATA